GAAGAACACCTAAAGCACGCCTAAGGACAAGAAACCGAGCCCAAAGAAACCCGAAACCAGTGAAGCCCACTGTTCCCTCCCTTTCTCTCCATCATGCTGGCTTTGGCGCTTCGTCCCCACCCTTTCTGCTGCTCCTAGTGCTTGGAAAGCACTCCCAGCAGAAACCAAAGCAAAAAAAAAACAAAAACAGTAGGGGAAAACATTGTAAAAAATATCGGAAAGAACTTGAAAAAATTCCGAAAAACATATCCATCCATAGCTCACCCATGGCCCAGCCATGTTTGTGTCGTATATAGGAGGTTCTTGTTCGGTTTTCTTGCCTATCTTCCGCACCCTGATGCGGCTTGGCTCACCGAGGTTGGGACTGGCCCACCCCAAAGAAAAGGGACCGGCCCGCGATCAGGTGTGGGATCATGACCTTGTTGAAGGAGTTGGGCATCTTGCAGGTCTGGGTGCCGGACCTTCGCGGCCGAGACCCAGCTCGAAGTTCCCTCCCGAAGCCGGCCGGTCTAGCCGCGGAAGACTCGACTGGATCGGGTGACTGGCGGATTGGATCGGGTGACACGGCAGAACTCCCGGTGCTACCCGAGATGACCCGAGCGGATCGGGTAGACCCGAGCTGCGGGGCCCTAGGGGCCTAGGCTAGGGTAGGCATACTACTGTACTGTATATCGGTCCATCCCCTGGCCGGAGAAAGAAGACGATTTTTCACCGGTGAAACCCGTCCAAAGCTGGCCCATTCAAATCCAGCAAGCTCAACCGGAGGTGGGGTGAGGTCAGGGTGAGGTTGGGTCCTGCTCACCTGCTCTTGGAGAGACACCTTGAGCAGGTGAGTAGGACTGGCCTGGTCGGGCCCCGAAAGGGACCGGAAACGACCGCCGCTGGTCGCCCTGAGCTTCCATGCTGTTGGGAGATGTCCATTAACCATGTGGGTCCTGGTGCACCATGTGGGTCAACAAGTCCAACATCATGAAGAGCTGATTAGAATGGACATTGAAAGAGGATCGACATTCTCATGTTCTTGAGGTCCCAGCGAGTTTTAGCATCCCTCATGTGAGGACACTCACTAGACCTATGTTGTACATTGTCACCCAAGGATTTCTCAACATCCATTTGGGCGACAGACGGCTAGTTCGGCATTTTTCATCAGCCACGGTCACGGTGCTTTTTTTCACACGCCGCAATCCGTGACGCCGCAACCCACTCGTCGCCGTCGTCGGGCCCTCTGGGGCAGCAGGTGGACTTCCAGCGGGGCGCGAAAGGTGCGCGGCACCTGCAAGAGCTGAAGGAGCTCAGATTAGAGGAGCCACATCGCCCATCGGACGGGGTAGCGTTCTTCCGCGCCGTGTTCGTCATGCGGCGCAGTGGTGCCGGTGGCGCGGTTTTTCATCATGCGGTGCATTGGGCCGGTGGCTCCTGACCAGGGGGGTTGAGATTTGGGAGGCTGGAGACTGAGATGGCCTCTAGGGGCTTGGGGCTGGGTCTCCGAGGTAGCAGGCCCATGCAAGGCCAATCCAATAGTGTGTGTAAGGAAGGCTATTGGGTATCGTCACCAATCATTAGTCATTAGTTCGGCCACGAAACCCTTTTGAGGCCGAGGTATGTGTCCTGAAACAATGGCGAAGCATTCGCTTCTTCTACCAAAGTCCTCTTCCCCTTCCCTCTTCCACACAAGTGAACTGGGTGGTGAAGAAACACAGGATGGACGGGCAGTTACCCTTAACCATCATGGAAGTGGATGGCATGGCCCGGGAGAAGAGAGCGTTTCTTGATCAACAGGACATGGTCCACTTCCACTTTTTCTTTGAGCAACCTGATAGGAATTGATAGGGTCATGCAGGCTCTTTATTCATGAAACCCTCCCAGGAGGGCTTGGGGGGTTTGAAAAAACAAACTCCATCACGCGCCCCACGTGATTGGACGGGCGTTCAGGAGCTGCCAGTTCAGTGGCCCAATGGGACCTTCTTCGCACCGGCCGGGCGGGGTTGAGAGACCAGGGCAGCGTGCTTAGGCTTCCTGGCTCGGATGCAAGCCTGTGGTTCTGGTCTTTCCGGTAGCTCTGGTTTCAACCTAAAGTGACAAGTTCCTCCTAGAACATCTAGAACGTACGTGTGTTCATTGCTACGGCTTGTTCCCTGCTTGTTGCGTGGAGCTGTGGGCGGCCTTCAAGTGAGCTTAAGTTTTGATCGTTCACTTTAGTGTTCGATTTAGCTCTCAGGCTACTTTTCCTGTTATTTTTTTGCTTCTGCTTGTATCCCCATTCTTTCAGCATTGGAAGAAACCTCCATGTAGGGTCAAGGCCAACCAGCAACAGTCGGTCAACGAGAACATCAGTCTTTTGAGATCTCGGCCTGCAACCTAAGCATCATCCACGATGTGTCTGACCTCCCTGGCCTACCAACTAGTAGCAGGAAGCGACTAGATGGAGGCCATTGCTATTAGGTTGGAGGCCATTACTACTAGTATACTGTATAATTAGGGTCTGTCCTATTACCTGTAACAGTCAGTAAACAATTACTACTATTTTTGAACAAGGCCGGTACTAACCATCATCATCCACGGTTGCAGGTATTAAATGGGATAGACCCAATGTAACAAGCAACCAGAAGCTACTACTGGTAGTAGCGATGCTCTGTGGCCATCACCATTCCCCACATCACCGCCGCTCCGCGAACTGCAGGAGGGCTTCGCCGGCGAGAGCGACCTGGTGATCTCCAGCGGCTTGGGGCTCTACTTGGCTCAGGCATCTGCAGAGGTGCGGTGGGAAGGGTGGGGAGAAAACGTGGCAGAAACCATGGAGACCACGGAGAAACATGTGACATGGGATGACCAGTTATAATATATAATAGGTCAAGGTGGGATGTTGGACTTGGGGGCTCCAAGCCATGTGAAGAGGAGACGGATAAAAGCGCACCCAGATTGAGGTGACCAGTTGGAATTGGGACGCATGAAGGCATTTCCTCGAAAAGGCGATTGATGCATATTGATGCTTCCATGTTGGAATGGAGAGCTGAGTTCTCCTTGTTCACCATCTCCTATGTTCCCCAGATTGCATATGTTCTCCCCCCGGTGTTTGGGTGTTTCACTCCGTTCTGCCTGTTCTCATTCTGACGTCAAAAAAACTCCGTGCTGAAACTCCGTTCTGTACTCAGACTTCTGCCTTCCGACTTCTGGTTTTCAATACGTTTCCTCAACAAAAAAGGGGTCCTGGGCCTCGGACCTTGGTTCACCACAAATCCACCGGATTTCCCTGGACCCTGGACCCTCCCTTCAAGATCTGGTGTTTCCGAAGGTCACACCGTCCGGTTTCTGAGTTTCCACCTGTGGTCGGGTGGGGAAAAAACAGCCTGACCAGGAGGGTTTCCCATTGCTTAGAGTTTCACTTCTTGGTCTGAGTCTCACATGGGTATTACATGGTGTTACCACCGCCGTGGTGCCCAGGAGCCCTGGCGCCTGGAGCTGTTGGCGCGTGAAAGTCCGAGGGTCACCGCCTTGGGCCAAGGACCGGGGGCCGTCCGGCTCCGGACCTAAAATGGAAGTGGAACAAAGGAGGGACGTGAAAAACGGATAAAAACGGATGAAACATGGTCTGTTGGAAAGCGACCCTTGCTCTAGAAACGAGTTCCTTTTTTTCCACTTCGTGAGCGAGTCCCATCTGGAGGCCACACTGGGTCCAAAGGAGCGCTCCGGATGGCAACTTCCGGTCAAATCCTTTTGAAGCCTTTTCAGCTCGACAGAAACCCCCTCACCAGTCCGCCCGAAAGCCCTTCAGCTCGCAGATCCTCATCACCCAAAAGCTGGGAATACTGACGCCCACCCAGCCGCTTCTTCTTCTGATTCTTCCTCTTCTCCTGGTTTTGCTTAAGGGGATTCTATTTTCATCTATTTTCCCAACGATTATATATATATATATCATATAAATCCCCTTCTCGGGAAATCTCGGGAATATTTCTATTTTTCCAGGTTCCTTAATTAAGCAAACCCAAGTTCTTCTTCTTCTTCGTTTCTGCGGAAGGGGAAGAGTTGGTGCTCCTGGCGCCCGACGACGGCGGATTGAAGTGGTGGGCGCTCCATGAGCTCCAGCGAGGCTGGCGACTCAAGCAACAAAAACGATCAAAAGCCTTGAAGAGGGGTCAAGGTGTGGAGTTGGAATGAAGGACGGCAAACACATTTTGATCACGTTTGATCCATCATTTCGGCAAGAATCTTCTGCCAGGACCTTCCCAGTGTCCTTTTGAGATCCCAGAATGAGGTCACTTAGGCCTTGAAAAGGTCACTTACCAATCCTGAAGAGGTCACTGAGAAGGTCCTGGTGGTGTCTTCCAACTCCCATCCCAGGGGTTTGGTGCACTCCCATGCCACCAGTCGCGGCAGGCTTGGCGCCCAGCCGATTGCCCATCGAAGGCCGGGAGCTTCTCCCCGCGCCCCAGCGGGGAGCCAATGCAACCTGGGTCGGTCGAACAGGTGCTTGGGTCGAGGTGGATGTTTCCTGGACATCTGAATGGTGGGGTGGGACTTCATGGTAGGTTAGGGAGGTTGGACGAAGCACTCGCATTTGGAAGGAGCAGTTTGCATTTGGTGATAGGATCTCCAAGAAGCTCCAAAGTGAGTGTTACAGAAGGAATGCATTCCCAGAAAGCAGGAACCTGGCCATGCGGGCGCTTCGGGCGGAGTCTTCCGAGTCTCGCGGAGTCTTTTTTGGCAACAGCCCCTGTTGAGAATGGATGAGAATGGTTTTATCATGTTTTATCCAAGAGTAGTCATGCAGACTCTGGATGAACACCCCCCGCAAATCCCGAAGAGGTGACATGTTCGATCAACGTTTTGAGAGTTTCATCCAGAGTCTACATGAGTTGCTTCGGCCCCGCGTGGCGCGATGCGAAGCAGCTCGCATTCCGCCGCAGCCAAGCCATGTGGGCTCAGACGTCTCGTCGGCGGCGGTCGCGGTGACGTCAGGCCCCGTGCGGGCGCCCGTTGCCGTCCTGCCCAGGGAGTCATTCAGCTCCTCTAGACCAAACTGAGCCTCATGATTGAGCTGCCATCTGGCCCCCAGGGTGGAACCAAGAAAAAGGACCATGAAACGGAAGAAAAGAAGCGATGGTTCTTGGGGGTTCTACTTCCAATGGTTTCAGACTTGACTCACCGTTTCACCGAGTCAAACATGGTTAAAAAGCATCGGCATTTCAAGGCCACCTCCCAAAAAACCCATGGTGGCCATGTGGGTCTTTCGTTTGGGTTTGAAGGGTGATTTTAATGGTGCTTTTCTATGCTTTTCTACTTTTTACTAGGTGAATCATGTGAATCCCCCCTACTCTAGGAAATATGCCTGGAGTTCTTCCCGTTTTTGTTGCTGGAGCAGCAAGGCTCCATGTGAAGCATCTCACCCTTCTCAGCGTTTGGGCACCGATCAGCCTTTGAACGAAAGCGACTCACAGCTGAGCTCCCAGCTGAAGGTGTTGGTCTGTGAGCCTCCCAACTGGACTGGACTTGGACAGGATGTCTCATGATCGAAAACAGGCGAGCCCCAGGCTTCGGAGCCTTCGCTCCCACGGCCCCTTACGGGTTGGACTGATGCGGCAGCATGCTGCATCTCGCACACCAACGAAGAGACTGGTTGGAGTGTGGCACACATGGCACAGGTGGCTGACCGTGCTCGGCGCACAGTTTCCTAGGTTTGCCCTCCCAGAGATGAAGAAAAAGGTTCAAGTGGATTAGTGACAAGGGGTTGGGCCCTGTTTATGGGCAACAGGATGCCCCTGGTTCCGAATTGTCCCTCCTGAGCAAAAGCTAGATTGGGAAAATTGGATGGGAAATCCGCTCTAATTGAAATGAGTGGATTCTGCACCCCACACACGGGGGAGGCTGGAAGCAGTTCTTTCTAAGACATGGAAATGCCAGGTGAGTGCGAGTTGAGACTTGAGACTTGTAGCATTTTTTGTGCCAATGTCATTAATTAGTTGAGAGATGATTTCCCAAACAATACCGCTTGGTCTGTGTTCTTTTCCTCCCGGCATCGCACGGCGATCTTTCCCTCGCGAATGCTCGCAGTGAGGTGAGCTCGATGGGAAAAGGAGGCGGTGAGCGGATGTAGCGGGCGAGCACTACGGGGGGGGTACTGTACTGGTAGCGGTTCATAAGGCAAAACTGACGTTTACCTCGAATGTCTCCCTCTCTCCCTCTCTCTGAGCATTTTGTTACGGCTGGATGAAACCACATTCTTCATGGAGAAGCGATCTACAAGGACTGCAAACAAATATAATATCATATATATATAACATCCATCAATTTCACCAAATCACCGAGACCGGTATTTCTTGCCACTTGGGAGCCAGTTGGGGACCACCGAAGGCTCAACGAACCTGGAGCCGAAAAAACAGTATCCCAGCATCGCACGGGCACTGGCCAACGAGCAACCTGGACAGGAGGTAAGAAGGGCAAGGACAAAGGCAAAGGCAAAGGAAAAAGGCGCCTCGTCCCCGATCTGTGCGCCACCTGCGGCCTCGTCCCCGAGAAGGGGGGGGGGGCGGACTTGGTCCCATGCGGTGCGAAAGCGGCGGAAGCCGGTTGCGCGCGTGTGGGTGGTTGGGCCGGGTGAAGGCTGGGACCAGTGCAGGTGTCACTGTGCAGGTGTCTCCTCCGTTGGAAAAACGGCACCTGGGAGACGTTTGGTGCTTTTTTCTTGCAAGCCAGGGAGACGATCAGATGAACCAAGCAAAGAAGATTACAGTGGTTTCAGAGTAGGTGGCACAGACCTCAAAATGTCCTTTGCATGGGGGTTCATAAAAACCACCTTGGGGTCTGTGCCATCTACTCTCAATCCACTATATATAAGGTCGCTTTATTCATTTCTGTATGTCTATTTATGGTTGTCACGGAGTCATTGTCATGGCATGGTCATTTCCAAGTTTATCGTCTGGAGCCACTACCGCAATGCCTTGGGAGGGAAGAAGAATACGCCAAGATCTCCCACTATCTGCTACTCCCTGGCCACAAGTTCCACAACGCCCATGAACCATCACCATTCGGATCAGTGAAGACATATCATACACTCGCAAACTTCACACACACAATATATATATATATATATTTATATTTAACACACACACACATATATATATATATACAATCTTAGATTATATATATATATATATATATATGAACTTCGCCAATGGAGGTGGCCGACCTCGTGTGCCCACCCTTGCCTGAGGTCCTTCGAGCCCGAGGGTCCGCCAGAGGAGATTGAAGAAATCGGGGAGACAATGCATACGTGCGAAGACCAGCTGGTGGGAAGCCCAGTTGTGGCGTTGGAGCGCATGCCTTGGGGGAAAAGCCACTGGCCTGAGTAGCACCCCCAAAGGCTGGTAGTTGGTTTCGGTGGATTGCCCATGTAGAATGGATTGGTGCAACCTATTGTCAGGCATACTGTGTAGGCAGGAAGTCACGTGTTGGACTCCGCGAATGGCCCTGGAGCTACTAAAATAACTAGGAATTGCCGAGAGTGAGTGACTGGTGAGTGGTTGAAACGCTGACCTTTCATTGGCAAGGGGGGCGGAATTGTAACTTGTGTGTCTACAAAAACCGGGTGTGGCTTGATGTAGCTGCGCACCTTCACTTGACGCATGTGCCACCCACTTTGCACATAATAACATATGTGTAACTCACTTTAGCATACTTTAGCACAGAAAATGCAGAACATGGACTCGTTGCACCAAAACAAGTGGAAGACGGGTACATTCTTGGAGTGGATGCTGTTGTGCATGGTTTGCTTCTCAGGGGGGTTTGAGAGATGGGTTTGTTTCCAGATGTCGCTGTCGCTCGCGGTTTTTTTCGCACCCGTGGTGATGTTGGGAGCCAGGTCTGCAGGTGCACGAATGAAAGGGTGCCCCAGTTTAATGCGCGACTCTTCTTGGAGAACAAGGAGCAGATCGGAAAGGTGGACGTTCTTCGGCGGCAGGGCAAGGTCCGCAGCTCTGACGGTGAATTGTCGGCCTTGAAACAAGGCGTTGACTCGTTGACATATGACATAGATGGTAGACGGTTGATTGGAATAGAAGGGTTTTCCATCTCCATATGGGAAGGCTTTATTCATCAACTCTCTACATGCTTGTGCTCAACGGCTTTTGGCCGCGGTTGACGGGCAGCTTCTAATCCCAAATTATTGGTGAGGTGTTCATGAACAACTTGGCTCCAGGGTTGGCTGGTACACCGCTTGGTATATATACTGGACAGTCGATGTTCCCTGGCCATTTTTAGGCCAACCTCTGAAACGGGGTGGTTTTCATGTTGCACCTTCTGCCCAGTGCACCGGAAGCTGCAGGTTGCACTGTTTTGGACCGTTGATGGGCAAAGTCCTGCACGAGAGAGAGAGAGAGAGAGCCGAGCGTCTTGAAGTTTCTTTTTATTGGTTGCAGGTGTTGCAGGATTTCTTCCACCAACAGTGGTTCATAAATCGCTGAGTGCAACGATTGTCCTCCCAAGCCAGCGTGCAGAAAAGGGCAGATGCTAGCCCAAAGATTTTACTGTCATTTTCATTCATTTTCCATTAACATCACCTACCGTGAACCCAAAACAGATGGAGACATGTCTTGGAAAAGGCGTTGGATGTCATCAGGGGACCCCCCGTCTACCAACAATTTTGGTCATCGACGACTCGAGTGGAGGGGTCAAGAGCCCCCCCAAAGTCACTGAGGACGTCTTTGGTCCCATCAACTCCTTCTACTTCTCTGTGAAGCTGGAAGAAGGGATGCAGGTGCCGCATCTGCACGAAAGCCCGTGCCTGCACAGGGCTCCAAGAAAATCGACTGATCCGGGGCTGGCGGGTAGACAGAAGAAATCAAGATGAGGTTATATTGAGGTTGTATTGGCTATAGGCTATATGAATATGCAACATTGAACCCTACAGACCGCCTTGTAGCATATCTAAACCCTAGAAGCCAAACCGCAATTTTTTCCATAGCATCTACAACAAAAATTGTAAACTATGATTTTCACTACAAAACCAGATCAACCATTTGAACAATGGTTGAACGGACTTCCAGGGTAAAGATACTGTATATATCAGCTAGCTAGACATCTAGGAATAACCTATGTATGCATGGCCCTGCATGGCACAAGCTGATAGATGGCTTTGTTGTGCCTTCTTCTACGCCGTGCAATTTTGCTGACCAAAACTCTGATTGATCCGACCTTTTGTGAGGGTTGTGGTTATGGTGAGGGTTTGTGAGTTTTGTTTCGCTTACCGTGAGTAATTGGCGTGAAAACCGATGTATTTTGGCCCACCGATGTATTGATGTCCAAGCACGGCACGGTCGATGAAAAATGGTGGAAAGCCGGGCAACTGTGAAGCACGGCACGGCTGAGAGAATTGAGATTTCTGCATGAATGCCTTGATCGGGTTCGCTCAACGTTGCAGGTGGTAGAATGGACATTTCATGACATTTCCATCAAGAGTAGGGGCTTCTGCCAAACATCTGCAGCTGCCTTTCTCAAGCACTGCCGTATACCTGCTATAGATGGCCTCCGCCTATCAAACGCCACATCAAGAAAGTCAGTGTAGTTGTGTCATATCGTGTCCATTGGTGTCCCACATCGTCCACTCTCTCAGTGCCCTCGTGAGGCGGGATCCTTCAAGAACGGAAAGAAGTTCTACATCGACACCATGCCGCTCAGCCGCACAGTCCGGTGCCGTTCGACCAACCGGGGAGTTGGACTCTGGCCTCTTTCCCCCAGACATGGATTGTAAAGACCTGCTCCCCAATGAGTTCTAAAACGTCAAGAGTCTACATGGTGGAATGTTCACCCGCCTATGAGCGGAATCGCCGCCACAGGAGTTGGCATCAAGTCAACCAAAGCTACATTCCAATTCCAGCCGAGGGAGTCAGAGCCAGAGCGCCTTTCCAGCGATGTTCATTGGTTCATACTTAATCATGCTCGATAGTTTACCTCCTCCAGGGACCAAGGTCTCAGTAGCACTAGGGGCCTTTGGTTGATGATTGGCTGTTGCACTGTAATCCTAATGTTGACACTTCTTGGAAAATCGCTTGTAGGAGACTTATAAGATCTTATGAGGAACCTTTGTTCCCGCCAATCTGCATGCGTATCCGGTCCAATAAGACTTTGGGCAATAACGCCCGTTCCAACGATAAAGATTGTGGAGAGGCTTAGGCTGGCATCGCAAGTCCCCAGATCTTAGATACTTATGGGATCTTATGGGAGTGTATTACAATTTGGTTGGGAGATCCCCTCAATCAAAACCCATTTATTGGGTGTCCCCTATTTAAACACACACCCTTATCACTGATTTGGAGTGAAGGCCTGCAGGGCCTCCATTGGGGCCGCCCTTTACGACGAGTGGGTTCCTGCATCTGAGTCTTCCAACCATGAACATTTTCTACCTCCTGGCGGGGTTCATAGATGCAAAGGCAGACATGTTGCATAGTTGGAAGATCCGGCAACTGCTTCTCGGTCGCCCATACCGTAACGCCTCCCATCGAACCGAGGGGCTGCAGTAACCGCTTCCCTTCGTCCACCGCTGTGAGGAAATTGCTGCCCATGTCGAGATTCCTGCCACAGCCGCCGAAGGGCGGTGGGAAGGGAGGAAAAGGCGGAAAGGGAGGGAAAGGCGGCAAAGGCCGGGGGCCCCAGGACACCACCAGCTTTTGCGTGTGCCGCATGGGCGACCATGAAGCGCATCGTTTGGAGCGACGTGGTGCAAAACAGATCATCGAACGCCGAGAAAGGCAACAAAAAACACTCGAAAGCTGAGAAAGCGCTTTGAAAAAAAAGCTTCGTTAGCACTCTGGGCCGACAATTGTTTCACCAGTGCCAGATGCGACGAGAAGAGAATCGACAGGATTTATGGTGTGTGATGTTGTGGCTTAGTTCGGATTTTGGTGCGTGTCACTCAGTTGCCTTTTGGGATCTCCACCTCGTTGGGAGCTTCTTGGGGACGTTCTGCCTCCAATCAATCCCCAGTAGAGAATTGTCGCAACTTTTTGCACGACGAGGATTGGGCCATTAGGCATTTGCATGTATCCCCAATCCACTTGCAGTGTCCAACAGTTTGCACGTCCTCTTCCGGGTGATGGGCTTTTCTCGGTTGACATGCCTGAGGTGGCAAAGGCAAAGGAAAAGGATGCTTGGTGGAACGGTCGACCGGTCCAGCCTTGACCGGTCCCAGGAGGGACGACCAGCTGAGAAGTCTCGGCGGCCACGAAGGGCACGGGCACGTCCTTCTCGGTTTGAAGTGAGACATGTTGGAAAGGACTGGTCGGAGACCGGGCGACTTCCGTGCGGAGTTCGGGATCCAGCGGAGTGGTGGCGAGGTGGACCAATGGCGGGGAGACCTTCCCCTCGAACGGTCCGGCTTGGCTAGAGTCCCATGCAAACTAACAGGAAGGACCATTTGGTGCTCCATGTTTCCAGAGTTTTGGTTTGCAAGGACACTAGGAGTAATGACAGATCTTTCTCGTTCTTTTTGCCCAGTGGCTTCTAAGGAAAAGGGAAAGTTAAAGGTAAGAGCAAAGACAAAGGTGGAGGCGGAGGCTGGCAGTTTTCTTGATGGACTGGTTGGGTGGATGCGGGGGGATGACGACCGGTTTAGTTCCCATTTCAGTCTGACAGATTAGGTTCTCTTGAGCCATGGCCTTAGAATCAGAAAGCAGGTCGGAGTTGGAGTGGCCCCCATTTGCGTTGACCTTTACAAAGGGAGGGAGACACCTGCAGACCTGGCTGGCAGACGGGAACCTCATGCAACAGCCGATTCGCTTGCGGGTTCTCCTCTCCTCGGAATCACCTACCTCCTGCAGGAAGATTTGCTGGAACACTCGTCCAATTTGCCTTTGGCAGGGGGATCCGCCATCGGCATTGAGACTACTGTAGTCCCAACCGCCAATGAGTGGAGACAAGCCTGGCCAGGTGGCCGAGGGCGCGGCCGTGGTTGAGGACCGGGATGAGAGGAGCTACGACAGGAATGCGATAGGATTGAGCGCCATGTACCTCACAATAGACGGTAGCACGGGGTCAACAGTTTTGGAGAGTACCAAGAGAGTCATCGGTGTTGCACCCGCTGTATTCCATTCATTCTCAGACTTGCAGCCCTCCTTTCCCTTGAGCGCGATGGTACCAACTGACGAAATCGGTCAGTGCAGCCGGGACGCGGGGTCGATCGCACCACGCGAAGACCGGATCGGTGAATCGGTGCGGATGGTCGTTTATATACTTGCACGCCGCTCCGCACGCGGAGCACGAAGGCATCAACAGTGGTTTCAAGTAAAAGCAAGAAGCGTCGGGACCTATCCCCATCCCCACGGCCCATGCAAAACGTCTGTGGTGACCAGCTGACCCCAGGTGTACATGTCTGAACTCTCCAGATCCGTGCAGCCGACGAGGACCCCCGCGGTGCCCGACCGCCTCCAACCTAAGAGCGATGGCCGCCAACTCACTACGAGAAAAGGTCACATATTCCAAGTGTTTCCCGATGTGTGCCGCTTTTCTATGGCTGGAGCGTCCAAACAGTTGGCGCCAACGGCGCTGGTCGTATCCTTGAAATCATTTCGGCCGGGCCGAAAGACGCTGACTTCCCAGTGGATGGTGCAGAAATCAGTCTCGCCAGGTGAATATGGTGCATGCATACGCATTTACAAAGGTGCACACTTGCTATGTCATTCCCTTCTTTAATGGCTCTTGGGAAATCAATGTCATGTGCTTTGAGAATCCTAAAGCCTTCCAACTGTGCATGGTTTGAATCAGCGAACCTGGAAGCAAACGGCTTGCTCTCAAATCAAAAGCGGTACGACCACCTCTTTCTGGTCTGGCGTTGATGCTGCAAAGATCCATTGCGCAACCAGGACTTCTCTAGATTGGGGCTTCTTTCTTAGGGAGATGGGATTGCCCTCCCCCTTCAGGGCTGTACCAAAGCGTTGCGCTGCAGTGGTTGTCTTAATCTTTTGGTGCAACTTTTCCTATCGACAATGACAGGGGATGGTTGAGGGAAGCCAGCCACCAAATCCTGAATCCTCAGTGTGTCTGTCTGAAACCGGGCCATCGCCACCTTCATTGAGTGACCTGCGGATTCCCTTTTCAGATCTGGATCACTTCATTCAACATGAAAGGGTCGCGTAGAATCAGAAGGAAAACAGTAAACCTATACGGTACAGTATATCCGTATATCCCATTAGCAAATATCAGCAGTAACAGTGGATGATGACGGTTCTTTCTCCAAAATAGTTTTGCTTACCGACTGTTACAGGTAGTGGGAAAGGCCTCAAGTAAACCAACAAAAGGCGTATGCTCTCTCTCTCCCTCTCTTGCGATCCAGCTGTCCCAGAGAAGGAATGAACTCTCCCTCCAACAATCATGGAAGTGGACACTTCCATGCTTCTTTGGGGAGGGTAGTACGGTAGTACGTAATTACTCCGATCTCTGGGCTCCTTCAGCTTCACTGCTCCGGCCTTTCGATTTGGGTTCCCGGCTCCCCTCTCCCCCCTGCGCTCAGCGGAACTGGCGATCTCCCTGGCCATGGACGTTCGTCCGGGCGAGCGAGCGAGCTCGGCTGGCCAAACACACACCAGTTGGGGTGTTTTGTGAGAACCCGTGATGTCTGCTTGGAAAGCATGGCCAAGAGACAATCCCGGTCATTCTGCGCTCACAAGGGGGCCGCCAGTTTTTGAGCTTTTGTGGTGAGACATTGCGGGATTCTTTCCTCTCCGCATCATTATGTGGGTCAATTGATCAAACGATTACTCGACTTGGCACCTATCATCTGGGTGCCTAACCGTTTCATGAGTGCTCTTGGATACAGAACTCCCGCCGAGGTTGGGGGTATAGTCGACCTAGGGCAGGGTCTAGACCTACCCCACCCCCATGTCATTTTCTGATTTCCTACCATGATCTCATTAGGATTCGGTCCCTAGCCAGCATGGCTCTCGCCGGCTCTCGCCCGCCCTCCCCGGCTGAAGCTAGCCATGGAAACCCAGTTACCTATGCGAGGCAAAGAAGGACAGCCAAAGTTCATGACATTGACATGGAACAGCTACCAATCCGTCCCCGTGGGATGCTGCTACTTGTTCTTTTCAGTGTTGCTATTGGCACATGTCATCACTTTCTGTGGCTGAATGATTTCGGTTGGTGGTTTGGATTTCATCGCCCTCACAGTGGATCCTTCCAAAGACCGAATCCCAGTTCCCACACCCCGCTCTGCACCAAGAGCTGCAGCACGACCAACTGGAGAAGAATCTGGGGTCGTTTCCCCCATGGGCATTTCTATTGTTGAGCGACATGGCGGCCGATGTTCCTATGGCCTTGTCTGATGAGAGGCCTCACAGGGTCCGCACAGATGCAGATGTCTTGGTGGCGAACCGTGGCGAACCCCTCATTTGGGAGGGGTTTGGCATGCTGAAGAATGCCCAGGAGATACGACTGGATTTTGTCATAAGAACCCCAGGTGCAACAAAAAGCTGTGACAACCCTAATGTGATATTCACAATGTAACTTTTAAGTTATACTTGTAAGTTTATAAGAATCAAGACTGGTGACGGCTTTCTCCGAGGAGACGGTTTCCTCATGCTTCCTCGAAGTTTGTTCTTGATCTTCGGAGCCCAGGACCTCAGGTCCTCGAATTCCGTCTCATTTGCTCGGCCTCCCGGGAGCCGCGGAGCCTTCTCCAGCTCGCCAGGTTTCCTCCCGCTTCTCGTCAGCCTTTTGCTCCTTGCGCGCGGCCAGGAGTCGAGGCGACGAGGATGGGGGCGGTGGAGTTGGACCACCCAAGAGAGGTGGGGTGTCGTGTCTATGAATACACAGTATCCGTAATAGTCCCTTAGAGGCCTTAGAGGTCAAAGGGGTGTACATTAACCCTATGGGGGGGTCCTGGTGCCAGGGTTATTATAATATGTATACTATAGTTTTAACATGCTCTAAATCTCCAGTCACAGTCCCGCGGAATTCCTTTCTCAGCGGTCTACTATGATGCACCATCATGCTGGATCAGATACGACGCAGATCAGCTGGGCCCCTGGAACAGTAGAACAAGAAGTTCACTTCTCGGCAATTTATGCATTTTTAGAGCACACCATGTACTAACTGCCAGATTCACAACGCTTATCCAAGTGTGTTGGAGCGAGGGTCCTTCCTGCCACAAGACCCGGGGACCCCAAATCCCAGTGGTGAATGGAAGGTTGAACTGTGCCGCTGTGACCCTTCTCGCTCTTCGCACGCCGCCCCGGCTCGTGTCTCCTTCTTCCCTCCTCCAACAACGCTTCTGTCTAAAAGGGCCTCCGGAGGGTTGCTTTGGGCACAAAGCCCCTCTGACTCACTCACACGACTCGAAGTGGATGGACGTGTTCATGGCGTCCCTCGAACCATTTGGGACCTTGGGACCTGGAGGTTGAGGGGCTACACCGGTCCCCAGGATCCATCCGATCTGCGCCAGGTACCTCCACTTTGATCGCACGCGCGTAACTGTCTCCAACCAGTCTGCCCGTCGCCTACAGGCGAGGTACAGGGAGGTTTTTGCGGGGATGCGTTGGGGGTTTCATCCTGACAAGAGGGGGGGTTGAGATGTGCCAAGAGGAAAGGCTAAAAAAGAGGATGAGTCAAGTAAGCTGACATGGCACTTTGGCTGGAATGTTTTTCCGATTTCTAGGAGGTTCTTGGAGATTAGGGGTTTCCCGTAGCGGATGCACCGTTTTGGGACTGTGACTTGTGAAGGAAGATGCCAGCTCGACCTTAGATGAAGAAGATCCCACGATCTATCGTATTTTTGCCCTGGCGTAGAGCTTGCTGTCCCAGAAAAGTCAAGCGTGTCTTCCATCCAGAGTTGCAGATCGGGGGTTCAGCCGCCAGCCCTTTTCTGGGGGTGGCATCACCGGAAGTAGCTTTCGTGCCACGCCTTGAAATTCTTCGTCTGACCAACATGGAGCCCCCTTGACTCCCACTGGGGTGAAACGGAGTCTCGTCAAACTGATCAAGGTTGGCTCAAGCCACGGTGGGTTTATCAAAGGCAAACGGAAGGGTAGTGCACAGAAAGGGTTTTGCAAAAACCTATTCTACTAACGTCGTGGAAGGCGCGTGACCTTCGTAGAACCCAAGGCTGTTCGTGGACAGTTCGTGGAATGGTGGGCCAGTAGGAGAACTGACTGCAACGAAATCCCAGAAACCTTCGCAGAACTTCGTGGAAGGTATTTTTGATGCACTAACTTCGTATAAGCGATTTTTGCTGACCCCCTTTCTCCACACACCCTCCGTTTAGCCTTCAGTTTATTTTGACACATCCCAACACCCTTGACTAAGGAGGGACTGCAACCAACCTGTGTGCATTTGTTCCTTCATTTGTTTCAATTGTGGCTATATAGGAATAGGATGATGTAGACAGATTGTTGCCTTCTGCGCTCAACGAAGGGTAAGAGACTCTATATTTATGATGTACGCTAAAGCTAGTTCTGATGACACAGCAAAACATAAAAAAAGCATAAACAATGCAAAAATAGTGCAAAACCAATCCCGAAAAAAAATGCACAGAAAACGCAAAAACAAGTCACCAAAGGATGCCTTGGAATGCCAAAAAAACGCAAAACAAATGCGAAAAAAACGCATGTGTCCACTAAACCAATGCAAAAAACGCACAAAAAATGCAAAAAACATGCACAAAAAAGGCACAAAACATGCAAAAACAATGCACAAAAAATGCAAAACAATGCAATCAAAAAACAAAACGAATGCGATCAAAAACGTTCTGGTCTTTGCCTTTGCATTTTTTTGCTTTGTATTTGCGTTTTTTTTTTCTCGATTTTTTTTTGCATTTTTTGTGCGTTTCCTTGAGAAAACGCAAACAAAATGCAAAAAAAACGCACAAAAAACGCACAAAAAATGCAAAACCATGCAAAAACATCGCACAAAACATGCACAAAAAATGCAAACAAATCGCACAAAAAAGGTGGTGTGTGAAATTTGGTTGTGCATGTGCATTTTTTTTGCATTTTTTTTTTGCTTTGATTGAACTGCTGTTCTGCCTTTTTTTTTTCTGGCTTCCTTTTGCATTTTTTTGCTTTTTGATATGCACTCTTTTTGACCAGCTGCCTTTTTTTTTTTTTGTTTTTTTTTATGCATTTCTTTTGCATTTCCTGGTCATCCTTTGTGAGTGTGGTTTTGCCTTTTTTTTGCTTTTTTATGAATCCTTGAGATTTCAGAGTTAGGCTGTAAGGTACATCATAACTCTATATATATATAGAGACTGGAACGTGAGTGCGCCTTTGATCACGGAACGCATCGAGTCAGGAACGTTTCTTGAAGTTTATTGCCTCAGATTTGTATGAACATC